AGAGAGAGAGAGAGAGAGATTAACCAAATTAAAGTACTCCACAGCAAGGAAAGATCCAAATTTGCAAAAAAAGAACTAGTATTTGAGGTTAGATAGACTAAGATGCAGTTCTGGCTTCCATGTCACTAGGTATGAAAATCTGAGAAGTTTGGTCTTCTTGATCTTTAGTTCCTTCATCTCCAAAATGGAAATATTAATAACTACTTTGGGAGCAAGTGTGAACGTTCATGTAATGTATGTATAGTAAGCATCTCCCAAAATGTCTGACACATAAAATGTGTTAAGCCAAGGGCAGCTAGCGTATCTTATCTTCCTCATTATTATGTCTCAAATCCTTTGAAGTATAGCCATTATGAATGAGGCCCATTTGATATTTTTGTCCATGTTCTGTTTTAATTTTCTTTGTGAAAGAGTCTGTGTTTATACAACATGTCCTCTAAGTCATTGGCTTAAACTCATGCTATCAAACTATTAATGTTAATTTATTCACTGAAATAGAAAATTATACAAAGTAGAAAATTTCAGTGGCTTCTTAAACTCCAGCTGTTAATAGTAAACATTATGAAAATAAGTTGTTTTCTTATACTAAAAGTAAAGCTAATCTGAGAATCTGAGTAAAACTAGATTTCCAAAGCAAAAAATTGTTAATCAAAATTAATCGTCAACTTCAACAGATGAATGCCACCTATAAAAATGATTTAAACTGTATGAATTGCAAGTATAGAATATGGCAAAAGGTCATTTTAACTATATAATTGAAACTTCAAACTAATTTAATTTCTCATTCTTTCATTTGAAAAAACCTGTCCCAAACAACTGTATGGGTTAATATTTTCATTAGCAGGTGCAGATAAATTGAAATTATAGCTATATCTTAGTACTTAACATGGTTGATTATTAAATCTTTGGTTGCAGTGTATTAAATGTCTACTGACAGTGTCTTTCTCCTTCTTTTAAAGCTGTTCTTTACCTCAACCCTGCGCAATCACCACAGCCGGGTTTATTTTATGACCCTTGGAAGACTTGAAGAACTCCAAAGCAGTTATTCTGTTTAAAAGGTTCCAAGATTTACTATAACACTTACAAACATCACATATATATATATATATGCTACATTTTCAATTTTCTGAGATTAAATGGGTATTCAGTTTTATTATTAAAGAAAAATTAAATCAGAAACTTAACTTCTAATGTAGCACAGAATAGTTTTAGTGAGAAATGCAGCTTTATATATAAAATTCACTATAGCAATCTCTATGTACTCCAATGGTGTACAATATCTTTTGCACAAACTTTGTAACTTTTGTTACTGTGAATTCAAATATTACTCTTAAGACAGTTGGATGGTATCTGTATTCAAATTTACAGCATAAAGAAATCAATTATAAGTAGATTAAAAGCAGCTTTCAGAAGAATTGGCCCTGAGTAGGGTTTTACAGAAAGAGAAAAATACTAACAAAGTATATGTAATTTTTCCAAAGTCATGAAAAAATAAAGGTAGGACAGTAATAGCAAACCTTTTAGAGCTTTCAGTGATAACAAACAGCCTACTGAGGCATGCATGCTATAGGTTGCCACCACTGGTTAGGCCATAAAACAAAAATTGTATGACTATGCTATAACCAAACTAAGGTTGAACCTGTATGCAGAGAAAATTACAGTGATAACTGAAGAAAGGTCACTTGTTTCTTCACCATTAAGTGCATAGCTAGAAATCAGGTGTGTTTTCACCCCATTTAAACTGATTTTCTTCATATTATAAGAAAAGAGAAAAACCTCAAATGCTTGGTTTTGCCCAGACTCCTAAAAGATGTGCAATCACTGGTTTTACAAACCACCAAATAATACACTTGCAAGCCTGAATACAGGACTGAACTCTAACACACATGTACTGTAGAAAGAATTTTTCTTTTTTTAACTCTTTAGAGATCAAAATTTGCCTAAGATTGGTTGATTTTTCAAAATTATTATTTGGTCGATAGTATGACCATTGGATAGTACAAAATATTTAATCCCAGATTAAAATATAAATTCATTTCACTACAGCTAATAAATAATATAAAAATAATAATATATAACAACAAAATATCAACTCCTAATACTTAAATTTTCACATTTTTATTGCTGTAAAAGGAGAAATTAATTTAAAATTATTTCAGATATAATTTCATATATAGATTCAATGTTATAAATAAAGAAATGAAAAGATTTTGAAAAAAATTTAACTTTCATCATGTATCTAAATCTACAAAATTACAGTGGTGAAATTAATGCAAGCCTATCACCCAAATATATTATAGAAGCCACAGATAGGTGATGTTTCATCACCTATGGTAAGTGCTATCTGGTGAAAAACATAATTTCTGTATATCTATCCTCAATAACCTGGTTAGTTCTGGGGCAATAGAGAAGCAATAGAACTATCACAAAGTATACCTCATTAATGATTCCTTTTAGTTCTGCTTCAGAAATTTGAAGACAGTGCTAGTGGGATAATAATTTTCAAACTACCTTACAAACCAAAATTTTAAAAGTAACTGACTAGGGGTGATTTCATGATAATGCATCATAACTTGGTACGTTGGTACAAGAGATGAAGATTTGGATTTTCCAAACACTTATATTACAAGTTTAGTAACTCAATGATGAGAATTTAGGAGAACCTGAATCCATGAATTAAAGAAATGAGTAGGATTCACATTTCTGTTACTGTGACACAATGATCTGGTCCTAAAACTGGTTTATCCTAGAGTGTTTACAAGCCAAATGACTTTATAAATGTAATAGATTTAAAAAGAAAATGAATGTTTATGTAGAAGTATTTCCTTAGAAGTAGTATCTATTACTATAAATTTGCATACCAAGAGGCCATGGGAGAACTTTGTACATGTTTCTCTTAGCTGAGCAAATGGAGCTTGCTGTATTTGATTTTCAGAAAATTTCTCATTTACATATATATAGAACCACGTCTTAAAAATTCACTTTGTCTTCATATTATTTACTCAAAGTTAAGCTTAAAAATAAATTTTAGCTTAAAATCATACTATAAGGCAGTAATTTGGAAAACTATTTTAGAAAGTCAACTCTTATTGTACCCTGTAATAGTTTTAATGGTTTTCTTAACCACCAGTTTTGAGATGAATTAGCCACTGTTTTCTTCCAAGATTCATTTAGCTGAGGCAGTATCCATAAAACTGAGAATAATGTGACACATATTCAATGGGATCTTTAAGCACTCTTAATTTTTTTTCAAGAAATGTGTCTCTTTAAGTCAATTTATATGTAATCTGTACTCTAAAAATATTGGAACAGTCTTTGATACTAGTAATTTCATCCGAAACTAATGAATTTTTGTTCAACTTCTAAAAATAAAAAAATTCAAGCTTACTGATTGTTGTCTTTATTGAAATATACTTGTCTAATGATTTGGAAAAAGGACTCATTTGAGGAATATTAATTTCTTTAAATTATGTGAGAGTGCACTGATTAGTAGATGTTAGGAGTTCCACCTGTTCATTAAGAATTCTGGCCATGGAGGGGTTAAAAAAATCTTTATGGCTACAGTGGTTAAATTAGAAATAGAAAAATATTCTTCTAAATATATGAGGCTTTACACATAGGGACAGACTCATGTAGTTTGGATAAAACACAAGCAAGTTTTAATGCTGCCTTCCCTCCCAGCCCCACTCCCCATATGTTCAAGTCCAGTGGAAAGGAAAGAGGAAGAACTCTATCCAAAGACGAGTGTATATCTTTATATTTTCTTAGCATTCAATAAAGGGTTTAGTGCAAGATGACATAACCATGAAAATTTGTCAGGAACGGTGATTCCAGCCTTTGAGGCCATAAGAAGAACAGAACTTCCCTCAAGAAACTTCTCAGCAGCGGAGCGTTAAGAGTCTGGTAACATCTACTTTCTGTCATCTCAGGACAATCTGGAGACATATTCATCAGGCCATTCCACTGGGGCCTGATGAGTGGGGCTCTAATTTGTCAAGTGTGTCAAGCTTGTCCAGACTTTTAGAAGCTAAGTCAAAAATGCTTCATTACCAGAAAATTCAACTTAATGTATAGAGCCCACTGACTTCAACTACTTTAAAGGAGAGTATTATGAACCAAAGAATACAATTATCATCATGAATTACATTTAACTTAAACAGAGAAAAGTTCTGAGGCTGAGAGAGAGCATTAATCTGGGAACCTACTACTGAAGCATGGGGACAGGATAAATCATGTAGAAGTCATTAGCTATTAGCACTGTTATGACTTATCAAGAGAATGGTGGGTTTGCAGACTCCAATTCTGCAAAGGTAGTAAGTGCATCTATTCCCAACACTGATTTCCAATTTAAAACTGAAGTTTCAATTTAGATGGACTTTTCTCCTCATTTGAGGATACTCAGGTTTCTGAACACAGTAAAGCGATTGAGTGTGGCACCTCTTTATTGCCAGCAACTGAATGGTGGTAGCTAATAAACTAAGGTCAAACATGCTTCAGAGGCATTGTCATGTGTCTTATTTTATGTTGTTTAAAATCATGTAAACTAACTCAAATGAATAATATTAGGGGAACTGAAATGGATTCTACATAGATTTATATTTTCACATACTGGGCCACAGTCACATTTGTATTTTTTTCAATTTTGTATTAGTTCATGATTACAGTACATAATGATTCCATTCCTCATGGGGAATTGGTACATATGCTCATACATTTTAATCCTTTTTTTACCTCCTTCCTTTCCCCTCCCTCCATTTCTTGGTCCTCTTCCCTCTTGCGAAAGATTTATTTTCTATTATATATCTTTTATTTTTGTCTTTACTTATATTTTGGGTTTTTCATATGAGAGAAGCCATACAATAATTGAGTTCATATGTCTGATTTATTTCATTTAACATTATGTTCCTTGAGGTGCATCCAGTTTCCAACAGAGGACTAAAGTTCATCCGTTTTACAGAAAAGTAGTACTCCATTTTGTACAAATACCACACCATCTTTTTTCATTTATCTATTATTTGACATGTAGGCCACTTCCATGATTTAGCTATTATGAATTGTGCTGCTATAAATATGGATATGCATGTATCACTATAATAAGATATTTTTAAATCTTTTGGGAAGATACCTACGGGTGGAATATCTGAGTCAAATGTAATTTGTATTTTTAGGTTTTTTGAGGAATCTCTATACTGATTTCCATAGTGGCTGTAGTAGGTTACATTCCCACCAACCATGAAGAAGTGTTCCTTTTTACATGTATTTGTGTTCCTCGCCAGTATTTGTTATTATTTGAGTTTTTGGTGGTACTCATTCTTTCTGGAGTAAGATGGAATCTCAGTGTTGTTTTAATTTGCATTTCTATAATGGTCACAAATGCTGAACTTTTTTCATGCATTTATTGGCCATGTGTACTTCTTCTGAGAAGTGTCTATCCATTTCAGTAGCCCATTTTTAATTGGGTCTTTTATTTTGGAGGGATCTAATTTTTGTGTTCTTTATATATTTTAGATATTAATTCTCTGTCCAAGGAATAGGTGGCAATTTTTCCCCATTCTGTACTTTATTTCTTCTTTCACTTGGTTCTTTCCTTTGCAGAACAGAAGCTTTTTAATTTTATGTGATCCCATTTGTTGATTCTTGATGATTTTTCTGGTGCCATTGGGGATTTGTTAAAAAAAAAAAAAAGTCCTCAACTGTGCTTGTCTTCAAGAGTTTTACCTATTTTATCTTCAAGTAGATTTCATGTTTCTTGTTTAATATTTAGATTTTTAATCCATTTTGACATTAGTACATGGTGAAATATACAGAACTAGATTAAATTTTCTGCAATTTCTCCAGAATCATTTGTTAAAGAGGCTATCTTTCCTTTAGCATAAGTTTTTGGACCCTTTGCCAGAGATCGCATAGCTAACTGTGCCTGTTGTTGTTTCTGCAACCTCTTTTCTGTCTCATTTATTTCTATGTCTGCTTCTGTGCCAGTAACATTCAGTTTTTATCACTGTAGTCTTACAATATAACTGGAAGTCTGGGATTGAATACCCCCTGCTTTGCCTTTTTTTCCCTCAGGATTGCTTTTGCTATTCAGTGTCTCTTCTGGTTCTATATGAGTTTTAAGATTGTTTTTTCTACTTCTGTGAAGACTGTTGTTTTTAATGAGATTGCATGAAATCTCTGTATCAGTTTTGGAAGTATGACTATTTTGAGATTGGTTCTGCCCATCAAGAAACAAAGGATATCTTTCCATTTTCAGATGTTCTCTTCAATCTCCTTTAAAGGGGTTCTATAGTTTTCATTGTAGAGGTCTTTCACTTCCTTGGTTAGGTTAATACCTAAATACTTTATTTTTCTTGATGATATTAAGAATGGTATTGTTTTCTTGATCTCTGTCTTGGTGAGTTCAGTATTGATGTACAGGAACACAACTGAATTTTGTGCGTTGATTTTGTATCCTGCTACACAACTGAATTTGGTTATTAATTCTAAGAGTCTGGTGGAATTTTTAGGGTCTTCTTTTAGAGTATCATGTCATCTGTAAATAATGATGATTAGACTTCTTATTTTCCAACATACATCCCTTTTATTTCTTTATTTTGCCTAATTGGTCTGGCCAATGTTTCAAGTACTGTATTGAATAAGAGTAGTGACAGTGGACATCTTTGTCTTTTTCCCGATTTTAGAGAGAAAGCTTTTAGGTTTTCCCCATTTAATATGTTGGCAGTAGGTTTGTCATGAATGGCAATTGTAAGATTGAGATAAAGTCCTTCTATAGCTATTTTCTTTGCATTTTTATCATGAATGAATATTGGTTTTATCAAAGGCTTTTTCGACATTATTTGATATGATCATGGATTTTTTCCCTACTTCTATTTATGCAATGCATTATATTTATTAATTTGTGTATTTTGAGCCATACATGCATCCCTGGAATGAATTCTACTTTGTCATAATGTGTGATCTTTTTGATGATTTATTGCATTCTGTTTGCCAGTATTTTGTTGAGGAGTTTTGCATCTAGGCTCATGAAAGCGATTGACTTGTAGACTTGGTTTTTGGTTGAGACCTTGTCTCATTTTGGAATCTGAGTTTTGGTAGCCTCCGGGAATGACTTTAAAAGTATTCCTTTCTTTTCAATTTCATTAAAAAGTGCAGAATATTGACATTAGATCTTCCCTTAAGTTCTCTTAGAATTCAGCAGTAAATCCATCAGGCGCTGGGCTTTTCTTCATTAGTAGGAATTTTATTACTACTTAAATTCCATACCCATTATTGGATTGTTCAGGATTTTTATATCACATTGGTTCAGCCTTGATAATTCATGTTTATCTAGGATTCTACCCATTTATTCTGCATTGTCCAATTTATTGGCATATGGGTTTTCAAAGTAGTTACTAATAATCTGGATTTCAGCAGTGTCCATTATGATTTCATTTTTTTTCCTTTCTAATTGCATTGACTTGGGTCTTTTATTTTTAAATAATATTGAATAAGTGTTTGTATATTGTACTTATTCTTTTAAAAAGCCAGCTCATTGGTTTAAGTGATTCTTTGTAATATTTTTAGCCTGTTTTATTAATTTCTGTTCAAGTCCTTGTAATTTCTTTCATTGTAATGGCTTTGAATTTGCATCCTTATTGTTTTCATATGACCTTGAGGTGCATCATTAAGTTATTCATTTGGACACACAATTTTTCTAATGTGGGCATTCACAGCTATAAACTTTCTTCTTAGGACTGCTTTCATTGTGTCCCATAGATTCTGGCATATTATACTGGCATTATTGTTTGATTCTAGGAAATGCCTAATATCTTACTTGATTTCTTCTGAGACACATTAGTTATTCAAGAGTGTATTAATTTCCATGTGTTAGTGTAATTTCTGTGCTATCTTTTGTCATTGATTTCTAGATTCATTGTAGTATGATCTGATAATGGACATGAGATAATTTTGATTGTCTTACATTTACTTAAGCATGCTCTATGGAATAGTATCTATTTGGGAGAAATTTCCATGTACTACTGAGAAGATGGTATTCTTTTGTTGTTCGGTTGAACACTCTGTCAATATCTATTAAGTCCATTTGTTCCAAGGCTTGGTTCAATTCTGATATTACTGTCTTGACATTTTGTCTTGTTGATCTCTATTTGTGACAGTGAGGTATTGTGGTAAATCACTATAATTGTGGTGATGTGCATCTGATTTTTATATCCAGTAGTATTTATCTTATGAAGTTAGGTGTACCAGTATTCAGTGAATATATGTTCATAATTGCTATATCTTCCTGTTCAATTGTTCCCTAACCAATGTGTAGTGACTTTCTTTGCCTCTTCTGATCAGCTGTAGATTGAAGTCCATTTTATCTGAAAATAGGACAGCTACTCTTACTTGTT